GCGGCTGAGAATGGCGAAGCCGCCGCCGCTGCCGCCCTCAGCCGCGTCCTCGTTCGCCACCGCCAGAGCCGCCGGTCTTCCTTCTGCGCCGTGACTTTCCTCCGGGGGGAGCCGCGCGGGCGGCGATCAAGCATCCCCGGCTGTCCCCTCCGAAAAGGATCGCCGTCGCTGCTAGCTTCGCGGGAAGGCGGCAGCGGCCGTTCCCAGCGCCTGGACCTTTGCTTCCCCTCCTTGGTTCCCCCCCCTTCTCTTTTGTTTTTTCGTGTTCCTCTCGGTCCTCCGCAGCCTTGGGTCAGCGGGACCTGCCTTTTTGGCTGGCGCGCTGCTTTTCGCCCTGCGGGACTCCGGGATTGTCTGTGCGGGGCTGAGGCTCCTCTCCCTCCACCACGCGGCCGAGGCGAAAAGCGGCTTAGCGGCGCGAGAGGGGGGTGGGTGGGAAGAGAAGTGTTGGAGGGGCGGCGAGGAAGAAACTTTCCTCTTGGAAGCGGCCTTTCCACCCAGCCCCCTGAGGGGGTCCGAGTGAAGGGAGAAGCCCGGGCTCCTTTCGGAGCACCTCTCCCTTTCCCCTCCCCTTTCCCGCCCAGCTCCCCCTCCCCGACGCGCTCCGAGTCCTCCCGGTTTCCACGGCTCCCCGGGAGCGCGCGCGGGCGCGGGGGCGCGTGTGGGGTTGTGTGTTCGCGCCGTGGTGCGGTGCATGGCTGCACCATGGCCACCGCGGCGACGCTGGTTTGCCGGGTGCAGTTCCTAGACGACACCGACCCTTTCAACAGCACCAATTTCCCCGAGCCCACCCGGCCGCCCCTCTACACCTTCCGGGAGGACATTCCGCTCGTCACCCAGCTGGCTGGGGTGCATCGCCTGCTCAAAGCCCCGCAGAAGGTATGGGGGGGACGGCGAGGAGGGGAGCAAGGGCCGCAGCGAAGCCGGTGACTGGTCGTGGGGGGGGCATTCGGGTTTGCCTGGTGGGGGCCTGGGGGCGAGAAGCGTCGCGGGAGGTTTCTAGAGAGATGTACCCACGCACAACTAACTGTCCTTCATAAAAAGAGAGGGGCTTGTTAGGAGTGCAGTTTGGGATTGCCCTGGTGTCACTGGTGCACCTGGTGCTTTGCAGAAAATAAGAAAGTCCCTGCCCCTGAGAAGCTGATGATCTTAATTGTTGGTATGCTGGGCTCTGTAAATAGTTGTGCAAAATTCCCTCACGGTTCCGATGAGAGGATGGACTGGGCCTCCTTGTACTAGATAAGAGCCCAAGGCTTAACTGGATGGAAATCGATTAATTGATTCAGGGGAGATGCGGAGGCAGGGGCGGAGAATGGAGTGAGGAGAAGAGACCAGCACTGTAGTCTTGGGAATAAAAAGAAAGTATCCTGCCAAATGCATAATGCTCCAAAATGTGGTGCTTGTGATGACCATTAACTTAGATGGGCAGTGATGGGTTGGGATAAGAGCCGGTGAAAGGTTCCTGACTCATGTTTTCATTAAGAGCTTTCTACAGGCATCTGGTGGGCCATGGTGAGGAGAAAGATGCTGGGTTATATCACACTTGCGGGGCTGGTTTGTTTGTTTTTATGATGTTGTGTCTATCAGATTGATATCAAATATTGATGCTTTTACAATCTGCCAACTGCGTTGGTTCCTTGTTGTCTGACTGACTTGAGAAGCAGGCCTTGCGTTCTTGTCCTGTTTTTGGAATCCTTGAACACATGTGCAGAAAAGAGAACAAAGATGTTAACTTAGGCTCGTGTAAAAGATAATAAAGTGTACATTCCCCCAAATTCACATATGGGTCAAGGGAGAAGAATCTTTCTCTTGCATTGTGCCCAGCACACTTCTGTACAATTGTCACATGCACATCAAGCTACATGTTGTGTGCTATTTCCAGCAGAAAGTGAAATGCACTCTGGCATGCAACTGTTGCATAGATAGATGCAAGTACACTGCCATATATAGGGCTACGTTTTATGAGCCACAGTACAAAAATAATGCTGCAAGGCATCATGTTGGTTTATGGAGAAAATGGACATTAAAACATGTACCTTTTAAACAGTGCAATGTCAACTTGCTACAAATGATGTGTGATGCACCATAGTATATAAAGCCAGGCTAGGGAAGCTGTGATCTTCCAAATATTGATGATCTCCTGTGGTATCTCAATACTGGGCAGGCTGGCTAGGACTGATGGGAATTCAACGTCTGGAGAGCCACAGGTTCTTTGGCCCAAACAAGATGCTACTGTCACTGTGTAGTATCAGTGTGATGAATGCAAATTGGCTGGATCTCCTGTTTGTAAGACTATTTCAAGCATTGCTATGGTTTTTGCCTACATCTGGCTCTTTCAATGTGGCAGTTTTTATCCACTTTGCATTGATTACCCTGACAGGAACATCTTTATTATTTATCAAGTTTCCATTGTATCACATTCTTTACATGTTTATAAATAGATGCAATATGTATGTGCAAGTTATTTGAGTAAGTCATGCATGTTGGAAAATTGCTGGTGGCAGTTTGCTGATACGATGGGCTCCTCCCCCACCCGGACCAAGGGTTCCTAAATGAGCATCTCTCCAGGACAAAAATGATCAAACTGAATTAAATTAAAGATTTCCATTGCTAGCTTAAAATGTCAGCCTTGTCCTTTGTTGCCATTGCTATGTCAACTGAATTTCAGCCATTGTGTTTTGAATGTTATATCACATGTAGCTGTCTTCAAGCAGGCAGTTGTCTGTTTCAGCTTGTTTAGTAAACACAAAACAGAAATGAAAGGCAAAATATCGTGTTACCTTTAGGACTAGCAGATTTATTTCCCTGTGGAGTCTTGTGATTTTCAATCCACTTTCTTATATGCACGGAACACAATGTTTAGGCCATGGATTTATTTACACATTGGGCAGAACTCTGTTGGTGATTTACATGTATATGGGTTAAACTGTGTAACTCACTGTTTCAGATTGCCACTAACTAGTGACATGCTAGAGCATTCTGAGGAGCGTCTGTTGTGCAGCTTGTGCACACCTCATAACAACCAATACTTCATTAATTAGAACTAATTCACAAAGTGAGTTATGCATTCTAACTTATGCACATGTGAATCAGAAGCGGAGTCCTGGCCAGTGTACATGGTTGTGGAATGGAGGCTAAGTGAACTGTTTACATTTGGGTTTCCTTTCATGCATTGAGCAGATGACAGGCAACTTGTTAAAGAGGAGGAAGAGCATACACAATCACATTTACATGACCATGTGGGTAAGCAGTACCCTAATTGTAGTGTCTGCTATGACAAGTGCAACCTTTGTCTTTGCTTTATTCAGGCCACTATTTTGTTGCTAACTATAGTTGACCCTCTGGCTTAGTGAGATTTACATAAATGTTGACTTACTATTCAACAATTGTTTTGGTAGGTCTGTGCTCTAGCTGAAACTAGGAAGAGGATACTGATGCCCATGTACCATTTCCTAAATGGTGTTCTTTTGCTGTAGAGGAAACTTGTTAAATTTGCTGTAGCAGTACTGTGCCTTTAATTCCTTGTTCACTTTTGCACAAAGGCTAGCTCATTATCTATTTTACTCTGTCAGGGTGCAATGTAGCTGTACAAAATAATTGCTGGTCATTGTTGCAATTGTATATCTAATAATGTGGATGGAGGAACTGAATATAGCTGCCGTTATTCAACACAGGTGCTTTTAGCATAGCCAAAATATCTGTGTTTTGATGCCAATATATTGCAGTTTGGGAGGGACATGTTGATAAAGTTGAAATGGGGCTTGCTGTTTGCAAGTTTACTCAGAAGTCAGTCCTGTTGAATTCTTTGGTGCTTATTTCCAGGAATAATAGACATAGACTTCAAGTCTTTGTAGTCTGGTTACGTAGAGCACTTTATTTGTATGTCTTGAAGAAGGGACAAATATGCCAAACCTAGTTGTTCCATCTAAAGAAAGGCTCTACAATTTTATTAAAGACCATTTCAACTTTTTTTGTGTTTGGAGATAGAAGGCTTAGATTTAGCTGTTGTGTCTGTGTTCCAGTAGGGAGAAAAGAGTATTTCAGCTTTTCAGCAGGGGATTTTGGAAAGGCTGTTTGTGTAAAAATAGTGCCCTGGTATGCTGATATCACAGTGCCATGAGGGGTGGAGATGGAAACTCTATATTGATCTGTGGGTTAGAGTGACTAACAAGTGTAACTTGAGATCTTTGTGTGTCCTTCCGAATGGTGTTGTTAGTGAGCATGTATAACCATTGGGGAAAATATTTGTTTTTTTGCATGTCTCAAACAATAGAGGTACGGCAATTTTCAAAAGTACGCACAGGAAGCATCCAGAATTAGTCAAAGATCTTAAGAAAATTGTTGCCAATTTCATTTTGTCTTGAGCTCTTCCGAACATTTTCCCCCACCTTTGAATTAAATTGCACTTTCCCCCCTGGACCTGGGGACTTTGATATCTGTGCTGTTTGCTCCATGCTAGTGGATTTTGAGCTCTTACTAATAAGTAATCCTTGTGTGGAATGCGTGTGCTTCAGAATCTCAACAAGGAGTTGTTTGGGGCAGTGTGCATTTGTCATCTTTGCAAAGGAATGAAGCTTGGTGCTTCCATTAATGATTAATGTGGACCATTTTCTTAGCTCCCTGGCAGAGTGATTTTGACTGCCACAGTGGTTTTTCAGGACAGATCTTCCTCTCACCTATTAGCTGCAATTACCTGAGATTCTGAAACTTTCAAAGCAAACCCACAATGGAACCTAATTCACACCTTGCACTTAGTAGCACCCTGTAATGTTAGGAAGATACATAATAAAGAAACAGTGGTGAAGCTGGGGGGCGGAGGGAGGGGAAGGATTACATACAGGCAGAGGAAGAGGTATTTAAGCTCTTGCTCTTGTGTGGGCCTTATGAGCTGACAGTTGTAACTGAGGCTTTGTTAAAAATAGCCATTAAGTCTACTGTCCTTGGAAGAGTTGATATCTTTGTTAAAGCTACAGAATGCAGCACAGCAATGAGAGAAGTCATGCTGTTTGTGAAAAAACGGTCCCTGCTTTTGTATGTACATCAGCCACCTAACTGTGCCTGTTTAAACCTGTAGATCCCTAGTCATGGATTGGAGTTAGATCAGTGGCTTACATAGTGTCACTGATGCACACTGCATTTAATAATCATAATTGCTGAGAGAAAACGGGGTATCTATATTTGGATGGTGAAAGTTGTGTATATTTTAACTTTTTTTTGTAGTGTTGTCCAGTTTTACCTTGGGGAAGAGCACCTCATTTCGTTGCACCCACTTGTGAGTGCAATGACAAATAAATTTCTTATGTCTTATGTCTTATTATTTAATAATCATAACAATGATACTGCTGAGGCCGATGATAATAATTATTTACATGTACGATTAAGTCATTTCTGACATGTGACACCCTCCTGAGATTCTCTTGGTACTTGGGAATGATTTTGATGGTTTTTATCCTTTTGAAGGCCCTCTGGGACTATGCAGCTTGCCCAAGGCTACACAGATGCCAAGGCACTTAGCACCTATTCCAGGTGATCATGGATTACCCCTCTCCTGGGAAGCGCAGAAGGGTTTCAAACTGACTCCTATCCACAGAGTTATACAACCTCTGTGTTTTAGAGAATAAGGATAATTGTATGGTGTTAAGTCAGTTTTGAGTTATGGTGACCCTTTCCATGGTTTTCTAACTATAGGGCGCACCAGAGTAGTTTACCATTCCTCTCTACTGTGGTATTCAGAGACAGTGCAGCTTGCCCGTGGCTACACAAACTAGCTCTTTTTGAGGGGACCATGGTAGAGAATCAGGCTGCCAGTATCTGGCTCTGCAGACAGGTACTTAGCTCATCAACCTGTCCTGTTAGCCATCTATGCTTTATAGAGTGAC